AAAAAAAAAAAAAAAAAAAAAAGAAAGAAAGAATAGCCCTCGAGCGCAATGCTATTCATCCCACTAGCCTATTTGAGCTTTGAGCTGCAAAAAGGCAGAAGGCAGACCATAAATGTACATGTGTACTGTACATGTTATATTTTCGCTTACATAGAGGCCTCTTTGGAGCGCCCGGCCCTCCCCCCTTTTCCCCCTTTGCTATTCTAGGGACTAAGTTACAGCTGGAGGGCTTTGAACGGTAAGGGAAACCGCAAATATATATATATATATATGTGTGTGTGTGTGTGTGTGCATCTCTCGTTACGTATAGGTTATAGCTTCAGTTTACAATACAGCTTGCAGCTCCGTTCCAGCTTCCACCGAACTGGGTCTCCCGAAGCTCTGCCCAGCTCGTAATAGTAATCGACCAATTTATATGGAGCCACTTGAAACCACTTGGCTGCACATACGGCAGACTAGTTCACCGAGTTTAGCTTCATAAATCAAACACCGTGTTATACTAATATTGTTTTCTACATAAATCCGTATCGCATACTTAACAATACGCCATCTAATACCAACATTGACCCACCCACCCCAAACGCTCAGGGAAAGCCTTCGTAGAAACCCAGCAACCCGTAATCAATGAGAAACAACAAAGCTATTCCTCCTGAAACATATTTACAAACTCCCACATAGCCCTCACAACAGCCACACCACCCCCCTGCGTCTCAACCGTCCTGCCTCTGCCACGCTCATTCGCATCACCTCCATTTACACCTTCACTCTTCTTTGCATTGGCGCTCGAAGTCTGCATAGACCCCGTTCCCATAAACCCCAGGTTTTGATAATCAATAGCACCAACTGGGATCTTCGGGTCCAAAGCCAAAATCCCAGCGTCAAGATCGCGCCTCTCTAGTACACCCTGCTCTGCAAACTCCTGTACACGCGGGGCACCCCACCACATACCAAACCTCCCCCTCCCATCCCTCGTCTCAAGCGCCGCTTCCGCGTTCCTGGCGACCCACGGTGCATACTCCTTACAGCTCTGGCGATGTAGGCGCGCATGCTCTTGCTTCGCACCGTGCGTTTTACCTGGAATAAGCGGTGACAGTGGCAAGGGCGTGCAGAATATGGTTAGGTGGTGGAAGAAGATGCCTTTGAAAGTCTGGGCGTTCTGAGAGCATGTGCCAGCGGGGTCGCAGAATTCCATCATGATACCGTCGGCACCAAGGCCAGCCCAGGTAGGGGGGAGGGATGTGATTTCGTCGTTTGCCGGGTGAGGTACTTCGGTATTGATGTTGCCCTGGTAGTGTGCGGAGGCGGGATTGGCGGGTACTCTGTTGTAGCCTGTGGGATGAACCGGTCTATTTTCCAACACACGTTTTTGGTTTTGGGGGAGAGGGGCTGAAAAGGAAATGGCGGTGAGATCGTTGCCAGTTTTCCAGCCTGTAGCGCGGATGGTGTCGCGGACGAGCTTGTGGCCGTCTTCGAGATATGTGAGATTCCCTGTCCCTTCCCAGAGGCCGCGCAGGCCGGACAGCAGCACGCCTTGGTTGTAGGTGTAGACCATGTTGTTGCGCTCGTCGCATTTACCCGTGCCGATGTGGTTTTTATCCTTCCACCCGCGGATGTGGAAGCCGTCAACGTACAAGCCCTGCACATTTGTCATGTTGGAGTTTTTGAGCCAATTGTACCCGTTTATTGCCGAGGCCAAGTATATAGGGTCATGGGGGAGCGCGGGGCTGTAAGGGGGTTCGCAAGCATTGTGGCTTTGCGCTGCAGTCGCGCCTGGGGTGAGGCGGTGTTCTGTGTTGGCGGTGGGGTTGAGGATCGGGTCGGTGTCGAGGACGGACATGAATGGCGAGCAGTTGGAGTCGCCCGGGAAGTAGAGGTACATCCCAATACTCGCGGTGATGAAGAGTTCGTTCGTGATCGCGTTTTTGTAGGGCGGTTTTGGCGGGTGCGGATCCCATATCATTCCGCCACCGCAGAGTTTCCAATCCCAGCCTTTAGTTGCTAGATCGTAGAAGACACGCGCGCGGTGCGCGAAGGGTGATTCAAATTGTTTGCCGTACCAATTCGAGCCACCTGCGGAGTGGCGTGAGGGTGGGTAGTGCAGCTTATTGTGCTCCCGTATGAATCTGATGTTCTCCATCCAGCCCAGAACGACCCATAGCATGTCGTCGTATGCCTGCGTGCGGATCGCGAAGTGGTCTTCCCCGAAAAAGTATGTGATGGCCTGCGAGAAGTACTTGTTTATCTCGTTCTCGACCCGCTGCCCTTCTAGGTTCAGCTCCCGGTCCTGTGTCTCCATATCGAGTGTGCCAGGCATTATGTAGGAGAGCGAGCGCGTCAGGGAGTACAGAGCTGCAGAGACATGCGTTCCCATAACGGCTGATGTCCAGTCGATCGCATCGGGCCATTTCCCCAGCCATATTTTGAAGTAATCGGTTTGCATCGTCTCGAGCGCATGGTGCAGTTCCTCAAGCGTGCCGACAGGAGGTTCGACTTTCGACGACTCTGTCTCCAACTGCGAGCGTGGGTCGGGATTGAAGGGCGTCTGCTCTTGCCTCTTGAACTCAGTGGGCTTTTCAGGAAGTTCTGCAGCTAGAGATGGCAGCAGTGGTTTTCGGACTGGTGCAGGTGAAGGTACTCCCACAATCTGTTCGAGATCACCGTCAATTTGGTGAGCTACTGCCACCAGCAGAAAGATGGCTCCGACAAACAGGACACAGCCCCAGGCTGAAATCTGCGGAGAGGATATTCCTAGAGTCATGATTCTTACGATGATGAAGAGCGTTGATACGGAGGACCGATTTTAAAAGAATAGCCGCTCTACAGGAGAGCTGACCAAGATCGTTATGTAGGCGACATTGGGATTCTCGGAACTATATCTTCAGCCAACTGCTCAAGGTTCAAACCAATTGGGTTGGGAAGTGTCAGTCGAAAGTATCGTGTAGCACAGCTTAGGGAGCCAGAGTCCGTTTTCGTGGTATAGAGTTCACGTGCCTTAGTCAGATGCACCTGCCCAGCGCCACGGCCGCCCACCATGACACCCCGCATCCTATCTACTCAGCACCAAGGTAATTCCTAGGCAAGCAGGGGATGGCCTGGCCATTCAAATAGAATTTCCAAAAAAAAAAATTTCAATCAAATACCGTATGTTGACAACTGTGGGATTCGAACCCACGCATCTTTCGATACTAGCACCTGAAGCTAGCGCCATAGACCGCTCGGCCAAGTTGCCGGTGGTAATAATGATGATAAAGATTTCGAAAACTTTGGTAAATTATATACATTAAAAAATAAGAACTAAAAACGCCTTTTGGGCAGTGGAGCCGCACACTCAAGAGACGTTAGGCTAGGTATCCATAGACCGAAAATAGCCGAACCAACTCTCCACACAGAGTAGAGCTCGGAACATAGTTACAGCACTAGTTTTCTACATATCAATAGGCATGAATTCAACAAGTTCTATCGGGGAAACCAGATAAGTTTCTCGGAGCTCAATGGGCATTGACATATACGTTGAGCTTGCTAATAGCATACGGGTGTTCCAAGGTTCATAGAGTAGCAGGATTTGGGTTCTACCTTTTATCTTTTAACCGTCCCATATATACTTGGTGGTTGAAGTAACCTCTCCCAAAACTAACAGGAACAATAACAAGAACCGTGAGCCATCTCGCGACGGCGCTATCCTAAGACCGCATTCTCATGGGTTGTGAAGAAACAGACACAATGTCACAGAAGCAGAGAAAGAGGCCAGAGTAATCCCATGTATTTTCCCTTTCTCTACTGTCCCTAGTCCTCCACAGAATCATCACCCAAAAATCATACAAATTTGGACTTGACTCCGTGGGTCGCCTGCGCTCTGGACAGGGACCTCGAGTATCTCATGAAGGTTTTTGGAGGTAGTGGCATTTTGCCGCCTCTAAGATGAACTCCTTTCCCCGCTATCGCTATCCTTGGCTTGCATGAACACGCATCATCCTGCTTCTGCCCAAATTGCTCCAAGACAGCAACCGAACCTTTCGTGATGCCGCATGACTCGAATTAGTAGCATGCGGTTTTACGAAGCCGTATTCTCAGACAGTTCCCGATCGTAAATCCGTACATGCGAGCAATATTGTCTGGCAATCCTATTCTTTTCGTTCTCCGCAATGGAGGTTGAGCGTGTGCCAACAAGCTTCTTCACAATATATAGGTAGCTTCATGATGCCAAAGAGCTACAGCCGGGTAGGCTTTGAAAGAGAGAAGCCTATGTAGAACAGACGGCATTATTTTGCGATCAATTCCATCGTCGCTCAATCTGAAAGGCCACCCAATGCATGCAGGTGCGTCATGTCGGGCGGCTTCCAGAATGCGTTAAGGGTTCATAGGAGTAGTTACCTGTCGCACGGCCACGGTACAAATGATCCGCGCCCTGTGTGCAGAATGAACTGCAGGCGAAAGAAGTGAGTGCGCATCCGGGAAGATGTCTGCGCTGATTGCTAGTCCAGAATGCTACCCGATTATTGGAAGTACGTTCTGTGTTCATCGCTGACGCAGGATTCCCGTCGTCAGCCTAGTGGGCTATGGTACAGATAATCCACGTCCAGCGTGCAGAATGAACTGCAGGTAAAGTAAGTGCGAGACTCGCGACTAGGTGGTCGATGCAAGACTCCCATCGCCAGCTTAGTGGTTGTAGCACAAATGATCCACTTCCCATGCAGAATAAACTCTAGGCGAAGTAAGTGCGAGATTCGCAACTTGGCGATGTCATAGTCCTCGAGCGCATGCGACCATCTATCCAGCCATATATGGAGGTTTGGGTCCATGCCCCAGGAAGTCACCAACGTCAAGATAGAATGGACGTCGCCGCAATACACTGCTTTGCCAACAGGTGTCGAAGAGATACTAGCTAGATCGAAAGAATTATAGACAAGTTGACAAGGAGAACAAATGATCCACGCTCTAGGTGTAGTCTTGTTAGACAAATATCAGCAGCTCGTCCTGGGAGTCAACAGACACAGATTTTACACTTAGCGATGATATCGGCACAAACTATGAAGTGGAAGAGCTGTGAGGCCAAAGGACTTCAGCCCAACTTCATCCAATCGAAACGATCTAATAGGTATGGACGTGACGATAAAGACAACCTAGAGACGGTTCCCGACTTCGAAATGCCGCCAGCTGCTGTGAGGGTGCTGCTCAGGGACTGCCGGACGGTTGGCGCTGGTCAGAGAATTGAAGTGCCCACCGTGCAGTAAGTACCGTGTCTGATTTAGCCTGAGATGTTGACATTCTTGAGCTACTGTAACAGTTAGTAAACCATGCACTGCGGGACACACTAGGCTGTGGAACCGGCGAACATGATGACATGTCCAGGAGACTATAACAAGGTCTGTGGAGAAAAATTCGGTAGCAAAACTGACTAATTTTAGTGTGAAGGAGCCACTACACTAATCATGTTGATTTGGGAGGCGATGTGGGCACTCGACGAGAGGCCTTCATCAAAAGGCACAGAACCAATCGTCATGCTTTCGAGCTGCTCTTCACTCACCGCGACCAGCGTACTCACTCTAGTAATCGCCATATCGCGCTCGGGAGGCCAGACCGACAGATACTGTATGCCACGAGCTGTGCGTGACTTGGTGAAGATGTTCATGGCTGTGGTTGTGAGATGAGTTAAGGAGTTGAGAAACAAGTGGAGTCAAGGACACTGCCGGAGAAAGCACGACGCTAGAGGTGACCATTCAAAAGAGCCATGAGCGTACGAGGAAGATGCAGCAGGGACAAATGTCTGCTGGGGGTAGCGAGAGTCTGGAGGATTGGGGAAGGCAGAGAATGTGTGAGAAAGAAGGCGGAGCTTGGGCGGCGATGCGAGTGGGATGGCCAGGGTGGTTTTGATAGAGACGTGCGGCCATTAACATGCAACTGGAGGCTCAGCAAGGGATCAGGAAGCAGGTAGTTCAGGTAGCCATCTATCTAGATAGACGGAATGGACGAAATTGTGTGAGGCAGCTCTGCCAGGTTTCTTTGGGGTCCTCGCGAGCGCATAGAGGGTCGTAGTTACGTTCGGTTAGCTGCACGGTGGTCGGAGAGGCGACTGCGTCCAAGAAATTTTGCGTCTGATGCATCACCACCACAAACATCCAGGTATGCACAACAAAGAAACAACATAGAGCTTGAACCAAGCAAGAAGATGTCCAAGGCAGACAGGGATCTGTGCATACGTTACCATTAATTGTCATTATGTTCTAATCCACATTGTTTCCTTCGTTTGAGAAAACTCCAAACTCCTCTCACATCATGGGTATCCGTCCAACATCCGCTCCATGTAAAGCGCCAATACTTCCAAGGTTTCCTATTCCAAATCTTACACAAAATGGCTGCCGAACAGTGGTCGCCAGTCCAAACAGGTTCATACCGATACGCCCAAGGAGATAAACGACGACCGTGGGCCGTGGCTGGGAAAGCATCCGACGGGAATCTCTCAATCACATCACAACGCATTTCAAACTTTTCTTACTAGGACTTATCTCAGAATCATCTCCTCCGGAGCCCATTTGAAGCCGACTTTGGGCACGGCTTTGGGCGCGGCTCTGGGCGCGGCTCTGAGCGCGGCTCTGCGCTCTCGGTGGAGCAGACATTGGCTCACGGTCTTGGGCCGACGAAGTGCTCTGAGTTGTCGTCAAGTGTGGCAGTAGCGGTCGCCTCACTCTCTGTGTACCCCTATGAGCCACGGGGAATCTCGAATTGATCGAGTCCGCAGACGAAACACGTCGATTTGAGCCGAGAGCTGCCCTCGGTGCCGGGACTCCGCTACGGCTTCCATGCCGCTCCAACGTCGACAGGTGCTGCGCTGACGGAACCCCAACAAGGCTCGGGGATACCGCACCATTCGAGCGGGAGGGGCGACGTGATAGCGTGCTAGAAGCTGTTGTTTGGTGTGCTATTCTATGAGAGGGACGACGGGTCGAAGGAGAGGTGTACAGACGTGACACATCGCTCTGTGGCGGTAATGGCGGCAATGGCTGCTGAGAACGCTGTTGACTTTGTCGAGTACCAACAGGGACGCGATTGGTAGGAGACTGCGGCCCAGGATATGTGCTGGGATGTAACAATGAAGGTCTTGGGGACAAGGCACCAAATGGAGACAACGTCAACGTTGCTGGTGGAGCCACTGCAGTGCCTTGTATCGGCACTGAGGGCATCGGTGGCAACGATGGCAACGGTAGAAGAGTAGGTAATGTAGGAACGGGTGGTGTCCCTTCAGATTGTTGTTGAAGACCTGTCGGAAATGTCAAGCTGGCATTTAATGCTCCTGGCCCAGGTGGGTCTGCATTAGGCGTGTAAGGCGGTGGTGGAGGGACCCAATTATCCGCATCGCTTTCATGAGGAAATTCCCTCAATCCATCCGCTCGTCGATACTCCAATGGTCGATACGGAAGGGCTCGAAGATGTCTTCGATTGGCGGGTGATACCGCTGCTACCGTAGCCGCGCGCTGTAGGGACATCTGGGACCGTGGCTGGGAATGATCATAAGGGGCTTCAAATGCAGCTTGGGCCTCTCCTTCTTCCATTGTCTCCTCTTCATCTCGTACAATTGTTGGGATGCTTGGCCTCCGACGTTCTGATGGGCCTTCTCTGCTGCTTGTGGTTAAAGACCGGCCCAATACCCTGGAGTTACGATTTCGCTCCGTCATCCTGTCAGCTGCTCTCCGTTGAGCTACCGTTCTGGTCCTAACAAGTTCGACTTCTCTCTCGAACTCAATCTCTTCTTCTGGTAGTCTCTCTCCAGGCAAGAGATTGTCAAGGTCAAATGTCATCCGAACTGGAATTGGAGTTGGTGATTCTCTGGCTTTGGATGTGTCAAAATCCATAACAACGACCACACCTGCCGATCCTTGTGTCATTGAAGGCAAAGTGCTCTCTGGGTTGTTGCTGTACATCATATTTCCAACGGCAACGAGTCGCTCGATACAAGGAGTATCGGGAACAGTGAGCCATCGAAGGGCAGCAATCTCTTGATGAGCAGAGCTATCGTCTTGCAATACCGGGATGCAAGAGCATGGCAGTAATGGCGATTGATTATCTTCGTGCTCGGAACCTGGGTCATATGTCCACTGCCCATCTTTGTAACCGTTTGGCAGCCTGTATAGCCACAAGCTTGTGGTGCTCTGCTTTCGAAGTGCTACAGCAACGTGATCTGCCTTTGACGATACCGCCGGTAAGGCGTCATCGAGGAATTCAGATCGAGTCCAT